TGCGCGCTGCTGCCCTGCGCGCGCGCGCACGCTACTGTCGTGCGCCCACGCGCGTGCTGCCCGCATGATACGGGAGTGGTGCTCAACCCCGACGGGACTAGTGAATGGCCGCAGGCGATGGCGTGCGCGGGCAAGGATGGCGTACAGATAATGGGCGAATGGCGCACATCGGGTGATGATGCGCGCAATTATGTGGACCGCACGCGTGCAGCGTCGGGAGCACGCGGGTGCGCGGTAGGAGATTGGTGCACGGGCGGTAGCCGGGACGCGCGGGACTTGGGCAGTGATGAAGGGGCACGCACATTGGCACGCCAGTGGAGTGGCAGTGCGGGTGACGCCCTAAACCGAGCGGGCGTAGGAGTGCTGGGGGTTAATGCAAACGCGCGCGAGACGGACGACGAGTGCTGGGAGCGCACAATGGCGTGCGAGTGTAGTACGGGCACGAACGTCCTAAGATGCGGAGGACTAGGCAGGGTAGCAGCGCGCGCGACTAGGAGTATGCAACGTGAGTAGGCACGAACGAAGTGAGGCGGTCGAAGCTTGAGGCGGCCGAACATGGTGTGTAAGTCAAGCAACTTGGAGATCAAGTCTATTAGCTTAATTAGGACTTTAATATATTTAGTTTCCTTATTTCTTTAGAAGATGTTAGGAGATATATTATTGCTTTCATTAATAAATTATAAGATCTAATTAGCTTATGCTTAGATTTATTTTATGCACCTATAAATAGTGGTATCCCCTCATTGTTTTAAGGAGTCTTGGAATTGATGAGTTGAATAGAAAAGAACGTTTGTTCAAACCGTGTGTTAGGATTTGTGAGAGTTCGATCATGCAATCGAATTAGTGAGGCTAAGACCCGAGCTAGTTCAAAATCAAGGGAGCGAGGCTAATTACCGAGTGAACTCAAGTATCGTGAGAGAGTTACGCTAATAACCGAGTCGATCAAATCTATCCGTCGAGAGCAAGTCGTGGCGAGGCTGTGTTCGAGGCAAGCGAGTGGAACCGAAACACGCGATCCTTCATCATTGGTGCTTTCATTGAGAGTGATTGATTGTGTGTTTGGTTAAACTTTTTCTATCCCATTCTTTTTCTTTTTGTCCGATTTTTTCCCCCTCTAGTTCGAATTTTTTCGAATTTCTCTTCTTCTTTTTCGAAAAATTTTCGAGAGTATCAAAAAAAAAAGAGAGTCATGAAGAATCGTGAAAGGTTCGATATGCTTGAGGAAAGCGTGAGGTCCCTTGGCAACGGACAACACGTGGTCAATGAAAACATGGCGAAGTTGGAGCTTATGATACACGACTTGGCGGGAAAGCTCGAGAGAGTTAACAACCACACGCGGAGGAGCCGCACATCGAGATCAACCATGGCGGGAATGGGCAGTTCGACGTCTAGTCGCGATGACGACGACGAACTGTCGTGGGCAACGCGCGCAACGCGCACAACCCAACACCACAGCGATCGAAGGACGCACGGCCATCGGCATCATCGCGAGGAGCATGTACGTGCGAGACCGAAGATTACGATGCCGACGTTCGAAGGAACATATCCGGATGCTTGGTTAAGTCGTGCCATGCAATTTTTTGAGATCAATGAGGTACCTACGTCCGAAAGAGTTCAAATTGCTGCCTACTACTTGGATGGTGAAGCCAACACATGGTGGCAATGGGTGTCACATGTTTACAAGAACAAAGGCGAGCAAATCAAGTGGAGGGATTTTGAGAAGGAGCTGATTACCAGGTTTGGGTCTAGTGATTATTTCGATTATGATGAGGTCTTGACGAGGATCCGCCAAACCGGTAGTCTGCGCGACTATCAAAAGGAGTTTGAGAGGATAGCAAGCCGGGTACGTGATTGGCCCGAGAGTGCACTTGTTGGTGCGTTTGTTGGCGGTCTAAAGGCGGAGTTAGCGGCTGAGGTGCAGTTGGACAGACCAAAATCGACGAGATCTGCCATGGAAGCAGCACGACTGCACGAGGACCATCTCGCGGCAGTGCGCAAGGCGAGGCCGAGCGAGGGGCGCACGGACGTTCGGCGCGCGAGCGTCGCGGTCGATGATACGCCCCCACGGGTCGAGGTCAAACCGGCATTTGGCGAGGGTATGCGCACCACGAGCAGCGTACGACGACTTACGGATGGAGAGATGCAGCGGCGAAGGGAAAATGGCTTGTGCTATACATGCAATGAGAAATTTACGCCAGGCCACAAGTGCAAAGGTAAGGAAGTCTTTCTGTTGGAAATTGGAGAGGAGTATGAGGAAGAGAAGCCACAGGAGGAGTCCTTGTTACATGTGTTTAAGTGCAAAAAGCGTGGTCCCAAGATGATCAGGTTCACGGCTGAAATAAAAGATCTACTGCTAGAGGTTTTGGTCGATAGTGGGTCGAGCTTAAATTTTATCGACGAAGGAATAGCCAGGCGACTGAAGTTGGAACCCACAAAGGTCAAGAAGTTTGGAGTCAAAGTATCCAATGGACATGAACTACAAGGTAATCAATTGTTCAAGAAGGTTCCAATTATGGCACAGGATCAAGAGCTAGAAATTGACCTCTACACCTTACCACTCAAGACAACTGATATTGTGTTGGGAGTACGGTGGCTCGAAACACTTGGGCCCATTACAACCGACTATAGGCGAGGAAAGATGGAATTTGGGGGACCAGGGAAGTGCATTAAGTTGAGAACGGAGGATCAAGGCGACTCGCCAATCGAGGAGGACGATAGCGCTGTTGATGTGCTGAATTTTTTAATCCTTGAGGTCAAGGAAAGTCTTGAAGAGGAGGGGAATGATACGGGAGTGGTGCTCATCCTTGGCGGGACTAGTGAATGGTCGCAGGCGATGGCGTGCGCGGGTAACGATGGCGCACGGCTAATGGGCGAATGGCGCGCGTCGGGCGATGATGCGCGCAATTATGTGGACCGCACGCGTGCAGCGTCAGGAGCACGCGGGTGCGCTGTAGGAGATTGGTGCACGGGCGGTAGCCGGGACGCGTGGGACTTGGGCAGTGATAAAGGGGCGCGCACATTGGCGCGCGAGTGGAGTGGCAGTGCGGGCGACGCCCTAAACTGAGCGGGCGTAGGAGTGCTGGGGGTTGACGCACACGCGCGCGAGACGGACGACGAGCGCTGGGAGCGCGCAATGGCGCGCGAGTGTAGTACGGGCGCAGACGTCCTAAGCAGCGGAGGACTAGGCTGGGCAGCAGCGTGCGAGGCGCACGCGCGCGAAGTCGTGCGCAACTAGGAGTAGGAAACCCGAGTAGGCGCGCACGAAGTGAGGCGGTCGAAGCTTGAGGCGGCCGAACTTGGTGTGCAAGTCAAGCAACTTGGAGATCAAGTCTATTAGCTTAATTAGGACTTTAATATATTTAGTTTCCTTATTGCTTTAGAAGATGTTAGAAGATATATTATTGCTTTCATTAATAAATTAGGAGATCTAATTAGCTTAGGCTTAGATTTATTTTATGCACCTATAAATAGGGGTATCCCCTCATTGTTTTAAGGAGTCTTGGAATTGATGAGTTGAATAGAAAAGAACGTTTGGTCAAATCGTGTGTTAGGATTCGTGAGAGTTCGATCATGCAATCGAATTAGTGAGGCTAAGACCCGAGCTAGTTCAAAATTGAGGGAGCGAGGCTAATTACCGAGTGAACTCAAGTATCGTGAGAGAGTTAGGCTAATAACCGAGTCAATCACACCTATCCGTCGAGAGCAAGTCGTGGCGAGCCTGTGTTCGAGGCAAGCGAGTGGAACCGAAACACACGATCCTTCATCAACGCGCGCGCTGCTGCCCAGCGCTGCGCCCGCACGCGTTGATGAAGATCGTGTGTCCCGACTGTCGACAAGCCGCTCCCGCGCCTTAAATCGCTCGATAGGTGTTAGGAAGTCGCACACTCGCAGCCTTTCTAACGAATATAATTGCAATAGAATTTTGGTGAAAAGACTAAAGCAAAGAGAGAATGAACAAAAGTTCTTGAGTTCTATTAGTTCTTCAATGATTGAATGATTAAAAATAACATAGGGTACATGGGTATTTATAGGAGAAAACTAAATCTAATTCTAATCTAACTAGATCTCCTAAGCTGTGCAGTAAATAAT